CAGACCGCAATTAATATCCTTTCCTCATTAGATGGATGGCCTACATATTGGTGTGGGCAGGCCTTTATGAATCGTACTGAGGACAGTTTGTATTGTGTCTAATGAAGATGATTACCCTGGTTTTGGATTTGGAACGGTTGATATTGCATTCCAAGAAACCTATTTTAAGTTAGAGTTTGCTACTCTTTAGGATTTTAGTTTAAATGCTAAATATCACCTTGTTTCAACTTTTTTCGGGTCCAAGTTTAAATTTCATTATTCATGTAGTTATCTAATTGCATCTGTAGTATCCGTGTAACATCAGGTTGCATATTCTCATGGATTAAAATGGTGTTTTTCCTTTATATCATTTTCCTGTCAAGAAAGAAGCCTAATGGTAGTGGGCATGATACTCCTTTTGCCTCCGGTTTCTTCGAAACTTTATCGGATTTTTGATGCTGTTGTTTACTATAGTCACTTTAATATACTTCATTAACAGTTTCTGCTGTGTACTGTTTTTATACTCTTTTGGTGCTTGACTGTGCATTTCACCTCCTGCAGGCTGTAAACGACAAAGATATCCACAAAATTGTCCTATCATATCTTGTGCATAACTGCTTTAAAGACACAATGGAGTCATTTGTCTCATCTGCTGGGATCGAGCAGTCTGCTGACCATCTCGAGGACATGGAGAAAAGGAAAAGTAAGGGAAACTCCCCCACCCACACACCCACCCCCCAAGAAAAAGAGACAAATAACTTATGTTTGGTCTTCCTCGTTCTGAGGCAATAAGAACTTATACTTGAAGCTTCTACGAGTTTATTGTTCCATAATTCATTTAAAGTTTGAAGGACAAATCTTAATTTGTCAATGCTCATAATGGTTAAATTATAATTGGGCAATGAACAATAAGAACAAACATTAATTAAGATATCACATCCTCATTGTATAATTTCATGATATTTCTTGTATGAATGTACTTAAAATCTGTAATAGATGGTTGTATTTACCTATCTTACCCATACTGGTGCAGGATAAAAAGGGTACGGGAAGGAGTTTGTTTAACAACTATGAAATAGTTTACATGGGTAGTTTTTTTAAAACTAGTAGCATTAATACTATTAAGAAACTTCAAAAGGAAAGTTTTTTGATGATAAATGTCTAGAGGATATATTTTGAAAGTTCTGTGAGATGTAATCGTAATTTGAGTTATTGAAAAGGGGAAAGGAATGCTATTTGTCCTCCAGGATAAATAATCGAACTTTGTGTTTAATTAAGTGGTTTTTATTGTAGACAACATAATTGGTATTGGATTTTCTATATTTCATACAGCTTGAGAAGTGGCTGAAGTTTTGAATGTCTCTTTCTAATGTTTTGTGCAGCCTGCCAAGACATAACAATAAGCTTTGTTTGTGTGGCGAACATACTGAGGATAGATTTATAAGCCATGCTGTATAAAAGGCCAGATTTTTGTGTGGTTTGTAGACATTATGACTACTTGTGAATAATTGTCCGAGCTCAATAATTAAAGAATAAGCCAATAATGTTTAAGATATTTTAAACAAAAAAAATTTGATTGGAAATCAACACTGTTTTGTTAAAGTTACTATACTTGTCGATGGGGTTGTCTTGTAAATCAATATTTTGTTGTGTGTAATTTGACCATATTGGAACAGTGGAACTTTTGTTCACCAGATGTTCTTTACATGCTATATAAGACTGCTGCAAGAGAATTCTATTATTTGTATGACTGGATTATTATACTTTCTTATGCATGGTAACAATAATGCCATTTACTTCCAGGAATTTTCCATTCTGCACTAGACGGGGATGCATTGAAGGCCATCGAATTGACTCACGATTTCGCTCCCGACTTGTTAGAAAACAATAAGGATTTACATTTTGATCTTTTGAGCCTTCATTTTGCTGAACTCATCTGCTCGAGGAAATGGTGAGTAGGTAATAGTGATATATTCGTAATTAAGGTAAATTTTTAAATTTCTTTTACTGTGGCAGCACTGAAGCTCTGGGATTCGCCCAAATGAAGTTGACTCCCTTTGGGAAGATGCAGAAATATGTTGAAAAAATTGAAGTATGTCCCTTCTCTGGTAAAATTATATTGCGCACTTATGTTTGGTCCCAACAAAAGTTAACTTGGGCTTTCTAACTTAAATTTAGGTTTATTTTTTCATCAAATGATGGACAAATATTTTTTCCTGCAGGATTTCATGTCTCTGCTAGCTTATGAGGAACCAGAAAAATCCCCCATGTTTCGTCTTTTAAGCTTGGAGTACAGACAGCATGTTGCAGACAATTTAAACAAGGCAATTCTTGGTATTGGTTTCTTAAAATTGTAGCAATTCATGATAATATTTTCCTTGTATTCTCCTTTTACTATCATGATGACGATGATTGTGGTCTCTCAAATTTGTCTTCATTGTTTATCATTTTCTCTTCTCACGTTACTCATGGTCGCAGCACATGCTAATCTGCCGAAATATTCAGCAGTGGAAAGGCTAATACAACAGGCAACAGTTGTTAGGCAATCCTTGAATCAAGAATTTGGCAAGGTTTGACAATGGCTATTAATCTGCTGCGGAATAATTGTTTCCTGGACTCCTGAGTTTTGATTTTGTAATGAATGCTAGAAGTATGGGTAAAATGCACTTTAAGCTGTGTTCGTACAAGTTGCATTTTAGCTGCCGTTCCCATATGACATGTTTGGTGAAGTGGATTTAATAAAACTGGACAATATTAAGGAAAACGTTAAAATCTTATTCATTGTATTGTTTAGTTGTGTCTATTACACGTGCCATACATACTCCTAGGTCGTCATTGAGAGAGAATTCTTTTGGTTTTAATACTATTTAAGGTTTAGTAGCCTATTCTAAGACCAGAAAAGGGGGGTGGGGTGGGGTGGGGGTATAGAATTAAATTCATTTTGCAACAAAACACAAGGGTATACTACTGCATTCTACCACAAAAAGTACAAAGAAAATAGAAATTCTTCTATTCTTGCTTGAGATCTCTGTCATCATTATATTCTATGAGCTGCTTTTTATTGTTTCTTCTTTCTATACTTGCTACAGAGTGAAAATCACATATATAGGTTGTTTAATTTGATGAAGTGTCATCACATAATTGATGTACTTTGAAATGATTTCTTATGGCTGTTATATTTCATAAAGGATTTAACAAGAGAAAAGTGAAGTTATAGTCCTCTAGCTGTTATTTTTTAACATGTTGCTAATTTAGTTTTTACCGTATTGTCATATTGTAGGATGGAAATCAACTATTCTCTTTGAAGGATTTCCTTGACAGGTAGGGCGGTGAAGGCTTTGAAATCGTTTCTGGTAGCATATGTGGCGATTGATGACTTGAGTGGCATTGTCTTTTTAGAGGATACAATGCCATCTACAGTTCTTTAATACTCTTCAAAGCTCCTGGTGCTTGCATTTCTTCTACACATTCTTTTCCAATTGTCGGGTTTCAACTGGTCCTTGTTTGAGTTGCAAATCGTTTACACGTGCTTCTATGTACAGGTGAAAGAAATGGTTGGTGGGTGGGGTGTTCCTCATGTCCTTCAATTTCATTGATTGAACAGTTCATTTAACTACATATAGGATACATTGCAATGGAAAGGTTACGAATGGAAGAATCTCAAGCTTCGAGAAGAAACAAGTTCAAATATGAAGTCACATATCAAGATACATTTGGTGAAAACAGATTTGAGGACAAGCTCTCATTTTTCCTTCATCTTTTATGATATTAAGGCTTTTTGGCTATGGATTGAATTTGATTAAAATCCCAACGAACACGACATAACATAGTGGAAGTCACGCATTTGATTCTAAATTTAACGGAAATAATGTTTAATTTGTTCTTGTTATTAGGGATGTGTACGATGGTTGGGTTGGGGTACATCGACATAAAATGAAATGACAATGTACAATAATAAATCTAAACTATTGTACAAAAAAATCCATAAAAATTATAATTACTAAAAACCTTTAGCAATTATAACAGTCATCTTGTCGTGTATCATGTGGTTCGCATCTTTTTAGTTATTCAAGCACATTGGAGCATCCTATGCGTTTTCTTTCAACCTAATTTTTTCGCCCCTACAACCTGCACAAAATGCATCGTCTAATGCTACAATGGACACCAAAAGTATTAATAGATCACGTTATCAAAAATAAAATCAATGTTATTTTTCATTTTTTGATCATCATCGGAGAAGATCAAAATTAGTTATCTCTTCTTAGTTTAACAATAAGTGTTGCGGAACCTTGCTCCAAGGGTCGTCAGAACGGTGTTTTTTGAACTCAATTTCACGTTACCTTTCTTTACCAAATAATCAATTCAAACGGCTCTAACCCACAATCAATATATTCACATCGGTTGCTCCTCAATCTCACCCACTAAGGACAAGATAATGATGATGATTTGTATCTACAAAGGCAAGAAGAAAAACAATGAAAGATTATTTTTCATTTTTTGATCATCATCGGAGAAGATCAAAATTAGTTATCTCTTCTTAGTTTAACAATAAGTGTTGCGGAACTTTGCTCCAAGGGTCGTCAAAACGGTGTTTTTTGAACTCAATTTCACGTTACTTTTCTTTACCAAATAATCAATTCAAACGGCTCTAACCCACAACCAATATATTCACATCGGTTGCTCCTCAATCTCATCCGCTAAGGACAAGATAATGATGATGATTTGTATGTACAAAGGCAAGAAGAAAAACAATGAAAGAAGGCAAGAAAGGGGCTGCCGATGGCTAAGTTAGGCTTTAGTTAGACCAATAAAAGGGATTAAATAGGCCAGATTCAAAGTTATCCAAGAGGTAATCTAAAGTTGAAATTACACAAGACCAGAACTTTAAAGATTCAATTTCAAATTTCAGATAAAACCTTTATTTATACAAAATCAGATATTAATTCATTTCTATTTAAATTATAATTACTCAAACCCTAAAAATATCAAATCATTTACTACATCTTCTCTCTCTCTATATCCCCTCGTCTCTCCCTCCTCATCCTCGTCTTCTTCCCCTCCTCTCTTTTTCCTCCTCGCTTGTGACTTCTGGAAACCTGGTTACATCTCATACAAGCTTCCCCCGACTCGTTCGTCTATTTCCAAATCTGCTACTGCTGCTAAGAAGAAACTAGCTTCTGTTGCCAACCTAAGGCCGTCGCTAGCAAAAACACTAAGGAGAAGAAGACACCTCATTCCAAAGCGATCCGTCTTCTTCTTCTTCTTTTTTTTTTTTATTTGATGAGGTGCGCAGTGGTTGGGGTTGGGTGCGGTGGTTTCGGTGCGATGGTTGGGTGGTGGTATGGTGGTGGATATGTGGTTTTAATGGTAGTGTTCGGTGATGGTGGCGACGATGATTGTAGGGTTGAGGATTTTTTTGGGTTGTAGGATGGGGGTGGTGGAGGTGGAGGTCTTGTGGTTTTAGTGGTGGTGGTAGTGAAACAGTGGTTGTGGGTGGGTAGTGGTGGTCGTGGTGGTGATGGTATTTTAGATGATGGTTTGCAAGGTGATGACAGTTGTGGAGTGTTGTCGGTTTTGTATCTAATTTGTTGTTGGTGGCTGTAGTGGTGGTGGTGGTGGTGGCGGCAATTGTGACGGTCACAACTTATCAAATTCGAGACGATGGTTTTGTTGCTGGGAGGTGGTTTTGGTGGTTCTGACGACGGTGGTTTGGGTTGTTGCAACGGTGTGGTGGTGGTCACAAGCGTTGGTGGTGATCACAAATGATTTGGTTGATTGTAACCAATAAATTGGTTGGTGTGTAACCAATAAAGAATATGTGACCAATGAAACAGATAAATTGTGATCAATACATACTATGTGACCTAAAAATTTATTAATTTGTGACCAATAATTTGATAAATTGCGACCAATTAATTTGATGTTTTGTGACCGTAAAAAAATTTGGGACTTAAAAAATTTGTGACTTGTGACCAATAACTAATATGTGATTATTAGTTTGATAGATTTGTGACCGATGAATAAATTGCGACGTAAAAATTTTAGATTTGTCATCGATGAACAAATTGTGTTATATAAAAATTTTTAATTGTGATCGTAAAATAATTTGTGACATATGAAAATTGTGATTTGTGACCGATTAAGAATATGTGACCAATTATATGGAATTTGGGACCAAATAAATGTATAATTAATTAATCTACCAAAGGAAATGGCCCAAGGATGTCAACTCCCCATTGTTTAAAAGGGGCAACATAAGGGATGGAAGTTAGCTCTTCAGGGGGAGTGTGTATGGTATTGTCGAATCTCTGGCACTTATCACACTTCTTTACGTAGTCCGACGCATCATTCTTCATGCTTGGCCAATAATATCCATACTTGATGAGTTTGTAAGCAAGCGTATGAGCTCCTTGATGATTTCCACAAATACCTTCGTGAACTTCTGCTAAGGCTTGGAGGGACTCGGAGGGCTTGAGACATCTGAGGTAGGGTAGAGTGAAACTCATGCGGAATAAGATACCTCCAATAACGCAATACGTTGAAGCCCTGGTTTTGATGTTTCTTGCTTCCCGAGGGTTAGATGGTAGGCTCCCGATTGTTAAGTATTCCAAAATAGGATCCACCCAAGACGGCTCATAATCTATGTCCATGATGCTTGGATTCGGCTTTATGCTAGGCTCTGATACCAGCTTGATGTGTACTGTTCAGTCCAGTCCATCTATCCCCATGAACATTAGTTTAGATAGTGCATCGGCTTTCGCATTATCAGTCCTAGCGATCTTGATGATCTTACAGCTCTTGAACCTTCTCTAAATGTCATGCACCTTTAGGCAATACAGGCTCATCCTTTCATCTTTTCTTTCGAAAGTGCCCTCAATTTGGCCAACCACAAGCTGTGAGTCGCTGAGGACTTTGATGTGCTCGAGTTCAAGCTCATACGCCAGTTCTAGAGCTAGGATGATAGCCTCATATTCTGCTTCGTTGTTGGTGGCTTCAATTTCGAACCTGAACGCGCATTGGATCTCTATGGCCTTGCTGGGGTTAGTGACGATGACCCTGGCACCTGATCTAGAACTGTTTGATGCCCCATCTACGAAGATTTCCGAAGTTTCCAAGGTCTTGGTCGGGTCATTACTCAGTGGCCCCAGAGACCTAGGGATAAGTTCTGCGATGAAGTCTGCTAGGGCCTGCGCCTTGATGGCAGGACGTGGCTTAAACTCTATATCAAACTCGTCCAACTCAACTACCCACTTTAGTAGTCTTCTTGAGACATCCGGCTTCTAAAGTATGTGCCTGGCTGCTATGACCAACGCGAGTGCAAGTTGTTCAGCAAATGTATACCGGGTCTCTGCATCGAGAAGCACTTTACTAACATAGTAAATAGGTCGCTGAACCTTTCCAACCTCCTTCACCAACACTCCACTTACTGCGTTCTCCGAAACGGCTAAGTACAACAGCAACGCATCATCCGGTTCTAGCTTATTGAGGACCGGGGGTGTCGATAATGTTTGCTTCAGCTCTCGAAAGGCAACATTGCATTTTTCATTCCACTCAAAGCTCTGGTTATCCCTCAGAGTTTTGAAGAAAGGAGGCATCTGTCAGCTACTTGAGAAACGAACCTATTCAACGCCACCATTCGACCTGCCAACTTTTGAATGTCTTTCTTGTATGTCGGTGCTTACATGGATATCAAGGCTTGGACCTTGTCTGGGTTAGCCTATATTCTTCTGTGCGTGATCATGAAACCCAAAAACTTACCGGATGCCACTGCAAATGTACATTTCGCGGGGTTCAGCTCCATCCTGTACTTCCGCAGCATGGCAAAGACCTCTTCAAGGTCCGAAATATGGCCATCCACTAGTTTGCTCTGACTACCATGTCATCTACGTATGCCTACGTATGCCTCGGTGTTCTTCCCTATTAGATGAGCGAAGACTTTGTTGACAAGCCTTTGATACGTAGCTCCCGCATTCTTCAATCCGAAGGGCATGACCCTGTAGCAGTAAATGGCTGAATCTGCCATAAAGGAGGTCTTCTCCTGATCCTCTGCTGGCATAAGAATTTGGTGGTACCCAGAGAATGCATCAAGAAAACTGTATAATTTATGGCCTGAGGTGCTGTCCACAAGACTATCAATTCGAGGAAGGGGATAGCTATCCTTAGGGCATGCTTTGTTCAGATTTGTAAAGTCAATGCACACTATCTACTTTCCATTGGCTTTCTTAACGAGAACGACGTTGGCAAGCCAGTCGGAATATTGGACTTCCCGAATGAACTTCGCCTTGATGAGCTTGGAAACTTCTTCTCATATGACTTCCCGCCGTTCGGGCGCAAACTGCCTCCTTTTCTACTTTACTGGTCTCAAACCCGAGGTCAGGTTAAGCTTGTGTTCAGCAACCTCGGGGTCTATTCCAGGCATGTCTTCAATGTTCCAAGCAAATACATCAATGATGCAGGCTAGGCAGCTAACAAGTTGGGTCTTGGTTGCAGCATTAAGACCTCAGCCAA